ATTTTAACTTCTTGCTCCATCTCAGGGCTGTCATGTGTCCCCTCAGCCTTTATTTTTATAAGCTATATAAGCCTTTTTGGGGGGACTTTTAATTTAAAATGAGCTCTTCATACCCCCAGACATTAAGGTAGCATATTTCTGGACTTGCTCCCGAGTTTATCTTTTTTGATGCTGTATGACCAAAGTTACGCAGTATTCTAGACAGACTATGCTAAGTACCTTACACTCGTACTGCACATACATGGCACAGGGACTTCCATTTTTCTTTTGAAAACAGCTCAGCTGATAAAACCTAGGGTCACGTTTTCCTTTTCCACAACTGTCCTACAGTAGTAGCTCTCAGTCCTCCTGTGATCAATGAATATATGCAGATTGCTGTCTTCCTTTCCCATAACCAAGTGTTAAATTGCAAATTATATTGGAAATGTGTGGCCTTGCATTTTGTTATGTGGAACATAATCTTGTTTCTATTATTTCAGAGCTTTGGTATATAAATGCCAGCTAGTATGCCTTCGCAGCATATCTCTGATTCTATTTGTCCTACTGCAATAAAAGAAATGTTCATAAGTCTCATCTGTCAAGCATGCACAGGGCCCCTAGGGCACTTCATCCCAATGGCATACGTGGGTCAACTGTCTTAACACCATGGAAGTAGCTATGCAATACTGTAAATCACCTCAAAATGTGAGGTTCTAATGTGAAACAAACTACAATTTTTACCTTGATATATAAAAAATATTCAAATTGGGTTCTGGCTATTTGATCTTTTCTACTCATTTTGGCAATGCCTGGAATCACATAGCAGCAGACAAGAACAATTAAGTCAGATACTCTACTTATGCACATGCACCCTCGAGGTTTTTTTCCCAGGCTGTGTTTTGCCTATTGCAAAAGCTGCAGTGTCTCTCTCTTTGACAGATTTTATTCCACAGTGAGGTGCAATATTAAAAGGATGTTTCTTATATAAGCAAATAGCCACAGACGTAGAAGGCAATGCCGTTTTCCTCTATGGGTGAGGCTAACACCATCTGAAATTGTATAGCTTTACCTTTGTAAATGAGACCTGCTTCCTTTTTAAATAGTTACAAAATATTCTGCTTAGTCATTTGTCATGATGTCACAACTGTAAATGGATGTGTCAAACAAACATCTATTGCAACTTACAGCCCAGAGGCATGGAAGAAGTTCCAGCATACAGGCAGCTTGCATCGATTTCTCCTTTGTACCCTAGGCAGAAAAAAGAACTCCAATTGCTATCACCAAGAGGTAAAGGCTCTCTGAGCCACAAAATCAAAATTGATAATGTGCATCTTAAAAACAAAACAAAACAAAACGAAACAAGTATTTTGCAAACCTACTCTTTACCACAAGGGAAGCATAAGCAGAAATTTCTCCTTTAACATTCATAGCAGAAGCATGATACTGAGCAATGTCGTCAAAATCACACCTAAAATGACAGAAAAGATTAGACAGAGCACCCATTTAATCCTTGGCATAGTCTCTCCTATGTTTTAAAGAATCCCTCAGAAATCTGTGTAAAATCTGGAAAGAAGTAAAAGCTTAGGAGACAGACACTCTGGATGCTGGACTGATTGTAGCCATTAAATTTTTCATCAATGTTAAAAATACAATGTTTGAAAAAGCAGTTTCTTTCAAATATCACTTACAGATTTGAAATCGAGAATATAGCAGTATAAAAAAATCTGTCTGATAATAATTTTGCAAGTTATCTCTAAGTTATCTCTAATTTACTATCTCCTACTGAGAGATGCCTAACATGGAAGGTGTAGAAATGGTAGATATCATAAAATATTTTCAAAGGCCGCCTACTGTATCTAAATTGTCAAATCTAGATTGTTGCTGATTGTCAAATTAGGTGATTAGGTCTCATGTTTTCAATGTTTTTTAATGCAAAGTGACCACAAAAATTTTCTTTCTGGTGTGTAACTGAGGACATCTCAGTTCTGTTCCTCATTTCAGTAAGAACTGGGAACTTTGCTATATGTGAGAAACAGTTCACTTGCATGTTTTTACCCAGAACAAGATTTTTCTCATGTTTAACAGTACTCATGCAGCAGACAAATGGAAAAAGTAATCACAAATGTCCCACATGTTTCTAACTCAGCCATAAATACAATAATGATCCAGATAAGTTACTCACTTAGGTAAATTGTGTATACTATACTAAGGAAAACCAGAACTACTTCAACATTTAGTAGACAGCAACCACCTCAGCTGTACGAACTTGATATCTCTTATATCCCCAAGAATATGTTCACATTTTGCAGTTCTCAATCTATAGCAATATTTCAGCTTAAGCTATTAGTTAAATCATCTAGTATTCCCTTACGTGCTAATCTCCAGTGAGTGCAGCCCATATCGACTTTCAATTATATACTTGCCAGGGTGAGCCTGTACGTCGATAGGCACGTTGTTTTTGTACCTATGGAAAAGCGAAGAAACAGTATGTCACAAATGGAAGTGTATAATTATATACTTTAAAAGGTCTAGTGCATAGTGTTTGAAACAGAACATCAGTTTCTGCATGTTTCTCCTAGAGAAACTATAGTCTAATTTCCTGGGAAGACATTACATATCTTTGGAAGCTTAACTTCTCTCTCTTTCTCTTTGACCTGCCTCAGTTGATTTTTTTTTTCCTAATTCAAAGGAGAAAAAAGTCTCGAATGGGGTGTGAATCAGTTTTCATTACCATGAATTTCATGTTACTACTTGTAGAGGAATGAAGGAGTCACATGAGCAACATCTCAGAGTTTCGTGAATTGCAAGCAATGAAAATTCTGTAGCGTACATACCTACTGGGTGTTGCACACATTTTGTGTGGTTTGCATATTTGAATTACTTTTAAAACCTGCATATTCACAAAAATGTCAGGTAGAAAGTTGACTTTTTTTTCACTTACATAGCTAAGTTGACAGAAGCCCCAACAGGGTTAGAGTGGTAAAGAAAAGCTGTATGGCTAGTAAAGTGCATTGCAGTGAGGGATCTGGCAAAATATGGCTCAAGATGAAGCTATATCCGCAGTAAATCTGAAAATTGCCTTTCAGCACTTTCAGTGTTATGGAATAAAGGATATTTCCCTGGCTACAAATATTTGGGCACAGTAATTCACTGGGAGTTTTCCAAGAGCCAAAGTGAGTGAGGATCATAAACCCTAATGGTTTTCATCCTGATCTTCCTGTCAGCAGGATGTCTATGAAAAGGGCCATAATGCACGGCAATACTCTCTGTTCTGGTCTTCAGACAGTTGCAGAGATGCTTGAACTCATTACATATCGCCTACTGCATTATCCTGACTTACAGCAAAGAGTAATACATAGGTCCAGTAAGAGTAATCCATTCGCCACCACTCTTCACCTCATCTGTGCAATGTTGTGTCCCAGAATGATCTGCCTGGGAACATCTGGGCATCTTCATATTCCATGTAGTGTGTCAAGTAGTTTAGAAAATAGAATAATGCCATCCGTTCCTAATATTTTCCAGGGAATATGAAAATCTACGAAACAGGAGTTGACTCCATAATCTCTTTAACTTTACTCCAAAGGGCTGGGCAACCCTTGGATCCTGTTAGCAGCAAAGGCATTTGGTAGCATGCGGTGCTCTACAGAAACAAGCTTTAACTGAGTCACGCCAGCAGTGAGAAGACTTTCACTTCTTTTGTCTTCATTATCAGGTTAGTAAAAAATACTTGATTCAATTTTTGCTTATTTATATTCATCTATGGAAAGAAGAGGGCTTGTATTTTAGAAGGACCACTTGTTGTTTCTGGAAACACAAATTCCAAAAGAGCCAAATCATTATCTAATGTTGGACTCCAACCTCCCACTGTCATTATGCACTGATAGTTTATGCTTTCTGCTACTGGTTTCAAGTGTCCTGGGTTTTCCATATGCTTTTTCCAAGGGAGTCAGAACAGCTGCATCAGACAGTAAGTTTTCTTTAGAGAAAGTCTATGATGCTTTATAATTTTTCAGCACAGCATGAAAAGGTCTTCATTGCTTATTCAAAGAATGACTGTTTGGAATACACAACCGATATTTTGTTAGAAAAGCTGAATGAAAGCTGACAGATCCAGGTCAGCACTGTTCTGCATCTCAGAGCAAACACACCTGCTGAAATGGCTGTGAACACCTTTTTCCCATTAGTAGTCTGTGGTGAACTGAAAACCCTTTGGAATTCATATCTAAAATGATGTATTAATTTCCACCATCCACATTTAGCACTTAGATGAAGGCTGGTTCACAGTGAGAGCAAACGCAGACAGCTGAAGACTTGGTTTAACCATGTCAGGTTTTTGGGATAAGGTGAATTTCATCCAAAGTGAAAATGGCCCAGCTCTCATGTTACTGTTTAGGATTCAGGTTACAGAGCTGGATTACAGCCATGAGCATAGATGATCGTGCCTTATGTCCAGCTGAGACCAGATCCGAAGGGTTCGTCTGGAATCCTCTCTAGGAGGAATATCAAAACAGGGCACTCCCAACCCTTACACGATGAGATAAATGTGTCCATACAGAGCCTGGCTATTGGTTGTCATAGCCTAAGGAGAGAGATCAAGTGACTTCATGGGCATCAGTTCTGGTCTATTAATGTACCTTTTAATAGCACTTTTTATCAAGTCCTGAGATTATGGTTTTTAAGACCAAAATAAACAGAGTCCATGAAGCAATTCAAGTAGTAAATTGCAAAATATGAGTATTAATTAATATCATGATATAGTAGATGTTTTCTGTTGCCTCCACAAATAGAATCTCCATAGGACTTCTTCCTAATTAACACTTAATGCTGAACACAGGCTTATGCTTTGTTAATTTTAGAAATACATACATACATTTTATTTACACATGCTAGAACAATCTTTTACATTAAATAATGAGCATCAAATCTCATTTTATGTCTGGAAAAAAAGTTATTATTTTAACTACTTGGTGGTATCTGTGTAGCATGAAAGATAAAAAAAGATCAGCTCAATCAATGGCGAGACAGTAAAGCTTCACAAGTCACTGTTAATTAAGCTAAATTAAATTCCAGTCAGGGTAAACTTTAACCCAAGAGTCAAATTAGACCTTCAGCTATGACTAAGAGTATCTTTTGGATTTCTGACAGTAAAGATTTAGTCTAAAGAACGTTCAAGTGAATACAAAGTTTCCAACAGACTCCAAAGCTTTAGAAGGTCTGGATGGTCCTGGATCTACCTGCAGTCTTTGACTTAAAATAATTGTAATGTATCTGCTAAGAACACCCTGCATCATGAGGTTTCCATTTCATGGAGATTCAGTACTGTAACTGCTTAGCAGCCAAGCAGCTGGTTCTTCACCAAAGCATGCTTTAATGCCCAAGGGACATTAATGGCATTTGCAGACTAAACAGAAGTATTTGGAAAAATATTATTTCAAGGATAGTACTGATGATAAATTAAACTTCTATTTTTCCTACATCAGCAAAGGGAAAGAAAAAAAGACATCTGTGTTCCCACTGTTGTTACACAAAGTATTACTTTGCCTTTAAAAATTTTGCTTTCTTTTTGTACAAGGTGACAAGAGGTGTCTGACAGACCTCTGTACCCAATTTTTGAACTTGTATCTTTCCAGAAAAAATACCACATTCACTGAGATAACTTCAGATATTGGGTATGTGGTGACTTTCAGTGCTAGACATATAAACTTACCACGTAACACGAGGTACTGGCCAGCCAGCCACGGAACAATGAAATTTGACATTTTGTTTTTCCCAGACTGTGTGGGAGCGAGGCTCAATAACAAACTCAGGAGCATGTAAAAGTTTATCTTGATTCATCTTTTTATGGAATGCCTGAGTCTCTTCTAGCTGGAAAAGAAACATTTGATTATAAACTCTGGCAGTAATAAGTGCAAATTATTAATACACAAACCCCATGTTTTTTAAATAGCAGTAAAAAAATATGTCATTTTTATTGCAAGATCTAGATAGACATACTTAATGTATTTATCTTACCTGGACACAGAAAACAAAGTTTTCATCTTCAAGAAGTTCTCCTTCCAAAATAGCTAGGCTTGATTTTGATTAAATTGTCTTTAAATTTTTATATTAAATTGACTGACATTGAATTTGTGACCTGTTATAGCTACCAGTTCCTCAGGTACTTTTACCTAGCCAGGCTCATTTACTTGTTCTTTTTTTCCTTCTGTGTGTAGTAATTTCCATTGATTGCTATTAAATTTCATTGTCACTGTTTCTCAATTTTTGAAATTATTTTGAAATTTTACCTTGTTCTTCAAAGTGTTTACACCATTTCCAACCTCATGTCATGAGGATATTTTATAAACATATTACCAATTCTTCTGTTCAAAACATTAATAATAGCAAATGTTAAATGTAACATATTTGCACTTGATATATTCTACCAGTCTGGTCATAACATATTTCTAACTACTCTCTGACTATTATTTTTTAAGAAGTTGCACAATATAATACCAAAGGTACCCACAATTACAGATTCAGTTCCAGAAGTCTTTGGTGATTCCCTACCTAATTTACACTCTGTGATTAAAATTTTAAGGTAAACACTTTGGACAAGCTTTTTCCCAGGCCATAAAAATCCAGAAGTTACCCCATCACCTTCTTGCTGACAAAAGATATATATTGGCACCTTTCTTCTCTGCCCAGCAACTGCCTTATCATCCAGGGGAAGGATGCTGTGCCACTTAACTAGGTGTGGGCATTGCCAAAAGGCATTCCCCGGCCCTGTTCTCCCTCCCTTTCTCTCAGAACAACAGAAGCATTGCTTGTGCCTACCTCAGGAACAGTGTCACTTTTCTTGTCCACCTGATACCAAGATAACAAGACCATTGAAAAGATTGCCATTGAAAATACTTTGGTTTTTTACTACCATTATTGCGATTGCCCATGGTGTAAATCAAGGCCCTGTTGTGCTAGGCACTTTACAAGCACCAAACAAAAAATTATGCATGCTGTTTACAAGCCTAGATGTTAATTTCTACTCTTTTACCGTTTTCTGCAGGGCCACGCGTTCAGCGGACTCCCGGATCGCTACTTTCCTTGATTTTTTTTCATGATGTTCCTCTTCAGAAATTGACTTGGCCACCTTGCTGACACTAACTCCTTCACCTGCAGCAAAAAGGTTCCTCTTGGCAACATATGCAGCACTTTCTTTAATTCTTTCTTCTTCCGTGTCTGTGATCCCACTGATATTCACTTCTCTGAAAGAATTTTGAAAAAACAGAATCCCATTGGAGAATGCTGGGAACTTTTTCTATTTATTCTTTCTATTAAATTAGCCAGGTACAGTGGCCAACGGTCTTTCATAATGGATTTCTGCTATTACAGTCTTACATGTATTTAAAGCAGAAACATGGAAAGATATTGCAGAATTACTGAGTATTTCACTGTCTAAATTCATGGCCATTTTCAGTGCCTTTCCGTATAACTAGGCCATACACATTTTCAGTTTAACCACTATCCTGCTGTGGTTTTATATTTCCATTGCTATAAAGATTAGTGTAAGGCATACCCACAGATCTTCAGTTATTGATTTATGGCTGCAGCACTCATAGTAACACTACCAAAGGTGCAGGAGATAATTGTAGCTGTATAACAATGTCCTCCTTTTTGATTTATACAGAAAAGCACATTACTGTGTATCACAAAAGTTCTCCTTACTCAAAGAAAATTCAACCCTGTAATATTTTTAGGGACTAAAAATGTTCCAAATATTTTCAGGAAGATGATAACGATTTTCTTGAACATCCTTCTCAGGCTTTCTACAGAAGTGGGATGGAAAGAAGAGTTACTCTCAATAAGTCCAGTCCTGTTTTCACATGCCCATATGGCAGTACCATTGCAGCTATATTGTTTTGGAACTGTCAGGACATCATAGCTGCTGTAGTAAAGCATATACAATGAGAGTTCATTGACTTGAGAAGAAGCATTAATATCCTTGTGCTGAGTTTAGTTATTTGAGGGGAGCATTAGATGGTACACCGAAAAGAGGTTCTGTTTAAATTCTCATTAAGTACCATCTTGCAAGCCCTACAGAAAAAGCAGCCTCTGTTTATTTCCAGAATGCACTCAAACACAGCCTCACTATTTAATCATAAAATGCTTACTACTGCTACAAAGCAAAACAATTAGGAAGAATTTTTTTCTGTTTTCTTTAAGATTGCTAATGTTATGCATTTGATAGCATATCTCAACACTCAAGAAAATTTGGATTCAAGCCCATATTTAACTGCCCAGCACCTTATCTTTGGGCTATGAAGTCAGTTCGGTGAGATGCAAAACAGCCAAGCAGTGGAAAGTGCTGTAAACTTAATTACTCATGAAAATTGCTTGAAAGACTAAGAAACTTACTTAAGAGCATAGAGCTTTGACCTCCCTCGTGTTCAAATTCTGCCTTAAACTTTCTGTGTCTCAGACTGCTTTAGCAGGATGATCCTTAAAAGTGTCAGTGGGATGAACTGATTCCCTTCACTCTGGCCCATCAGCTCCCCCCACAAATACCATCTGAAGCTGCAGAGATATGCCACCCATTTCTAAAGACAATTTTGAAAACTCAGTTTAATGGATATGAATGTAGCTATCTACATTTAGTTTAAATGAATTTGTGGCATTTTCCTTCAAAAGCAAGTTGACATTTTTTCCTCCTTAATTACAGTAGTTAAGATCTCAGCAACTTCACAGTATGGACCCTCTCCTCAAGGCACAAAGCATCTTCTGGGAGCTGATGAATATCCTCAGACTAATACAGGACTCCTACTCCTGCAGCCTAGTTATCTGCAGTAGTGGTCCCCAGATGCTTTTGATCAACATTATTAAATATTTAGATTTGCTAATCATTTCTGCCTGTTGTAATCTTTCCAGATCAAAGAGAAGTATGTTCCCTGAAATGATGAATGCATCAGAAATCAGCACAGTACCATTTAAGAATTGATTCTGCAGTCAAGTCTCAGGGGTTTCAGTAGAAAACACTTTTCAAACAGAAGCAACAGGATCAAACCCCAAATGGCACACACAAAACATTATTTAAAGCATATCTGCCATCTGGAGTCGTCTGGTGTAGGCTGATTAGTGGCTGCAAATAGTTTCATGAGCCTCATCCAGTTTGTTTAGCACCTCTGGCATTAAATCAAGCTCTGGGTGTTTTATTATCTAGAATATTGGCTGGTTGTCCTTAATTTTACCTTGCAAGGATTGGGCTTGGTGTTTAAGAAGAACAGTTGTGAAGTGAATAATCTGAATGAGGGAATCTTTTATAGCAGAATCTGAGAGCTCTGAAATAGAACCAAATAATGGAAATGGTGACACAGTGCTGAAGGTCATCCAGCAGCATGGGCAACAGTTCTGATGAACTCACAGAGAGCTGACCTTTATAGATAACTATTCCTTGTAAAAGCTATCTGCCCACGAGAAACAACACATCCATTTCACAGGGGAATTTGGGAGTGACATGTAACATGCACATGGTTCAATGGGCTTCAGCTGTTATCTTTAAAACAAAAATAAATATCTGACAGAAATGTGGCATGCAACTTCCGCAGTATTGGCATGTGGTCATGAACACGATGCCAGCAGAAGTAAAGCCTAGAACAGATACCCAAACCATTTCATGCCATGTTGATTTCACCATCCTAACAACCATCATATGCTCGTCTTATACTTTTAACTAATTTTAAAAAAATATTTGGATCATTTCAGTGGCACAAAACACACACAGCTTCCTGAGTTGCCATGTGCAAAAAGTAAGATTGGTAACAACAACTGTAAAAAGAAGAATAGTAACAGTAATGTAAGAATCCAACAGTATCTTTTAATGCAGGATCCCAAAGTAATGCACAGACACAAATAAATGAAGCTACACACTATCACACTGAGTTAGATATTACTGTATTTGATTTACAAAAAAAGGCAAATTAGAACAATTATTTGTTCAGATGTTAACACAATGTGTTAACATCACAGGAACCTGTAAAAAGCTAAGATAATCATCCAGGAGTACTAGCCATTTACCAACACTATGTATTCTACTTTTGTAGATGCTAGACACAATAAAAAGAAAGGATATATGTGTGTGAGGGCGTGGGAGACAGATGATGATGAACTGCAAATCTACTGCTACATAAGAAGAAACATTGAGTGAAGAGCAAAGGTAATGAGAAGCCTTGAAAATATGTTATCGCAAGTTTTGTGTGAGACATATTTATGTATTTCTGTCACAGAACATATAGCTGAAGGTCTGAAGAAATGGTTTAAAAATGCAACACTGTGTGCTTCTGAACATTGTTTGGATCAAAGAGCAGTGAATCCAACACAAAAATGTATGAGGGGTGAGAAAAGAATTACTCCAGGATAGTGGGAAGGAATTAATAAAAACCCAAACTGCTGGTCTCATCACAAAAGCATCACAAATGGTCAAAAGGCCAAAGCAATAACATCTCCTACTGACAAGACGGAACTCAGATTCACATTAAAGCACGAGTTTGGACACAGAGAAGAAGCAACTTTGGGTGTTGATTAAGCAGTGGACAGAAAAACACTGGCTCCCAGAAGCAGCTTTAAGGTGTCCCATGAAAAATGCTGTGCTGCGGAAGAAAGACAAGCTGAAGGAAGGTTTCTGATCAGCTGAGGATGGGCAAGAATGTTTTCCCTGGCCTCCAATCAGGAACCAGTTTACCATGGCACACCCCAGTATGTATTAATCTGAACAAGTGACTATGCTCGGACTGCCAGAGACTCCTAATGAAATCAGTATGCTTTACCTGAAAAAGGGCAGGGGAGCATCCTTACTAGTGTTGGTTCTGGCTTCCACATAAAGTTCACATTCAGCTTTACTGAGGACACTGCTGCAGTAAGATATATTACATCAGTAGTAACCATGCAGTAAATACCACCAACATGTGAGATCAGTATGAATCATTACGATGGATTTGAGAAAATATTTGGTTTCATTCCAGGTTTTGCCTGTGCCAGGACAAAATATTAGCACATCTTTTCATTGTTTCTATGTTTAATGCTTGGTAAGAGACATTGAATTCTAGAATAAGTCTTTGAACCAAAAGAATAAGCTAAATAATGTGGACAACATGCTCATCTGGTTCCCAATAAGCACAGCTATAATTATAATTTAATTTCATAGAAAGTGGCCCTGGTGATGTGTTCAAAACAAAGTCCAGACACCTAGGTTTATTTGTCCTGACTCTGGATGATCAAACTCTGATTTTCTGCCAGTCAGATGACTTATCTTTGTCTTTTTATCACTCATGTGAAATGCAAACAATCACCTTGAGATCCATGAGTGTAAAAATAAAATAAATTAATGGATTTGTTATTTTATAATTTATTAATAAAATGTCAGAAATAAGATACTAAACAAAAGAAAAATGAACATACCGTCCTGTGAATATGGGCACTGTGTAGTCTATGGCTTCATTCTCTTTGTCCTCAGATGCCAAATTTTGTTTTGCTCTCTTTGCTTTAGGACTCATTTTATAGGATTGATCTTCAAGCATTAAATTGTAATCTTTCAGTCTGAAATAAAAATAGTATTGTTAAATTCATTTTAAAAGAAAGCTGTTAAGAAATGCTCCAAAATTAGAGTAAAATCACAGAATCACAGAATCACAGAATGTTAGGGATTGAAGATACTAATTTTTTTTCTCTCTTTTGTTTGCTAAGCAAGAAAACATGATTTTTAATAGCCGTGGCATGAGAATTATTAAACACATAACTAAATACACTTCTGATGAACTCATCATTACAAGTATAACACTGATGGCCCTTGATATTAATTCTAATAGAGAGAATAAACAATATAACTGATAGCAATGAATATTTAATAGCTTCTTGGTTTGGTAATTTGAAAGTTTGTATACCTAGTTTTGGTAGATCCTGATGTCACTGAGACTACTGAGTAATTCTGAAGATTTTATCTGGACTCACAACCTCTACTTTTCCAAAATTTACAGTCCTGAAATTGTCTGATCTCCAACCAAATTATTGGTGTGCAAATATATTCAAAGTAATAATTCATTTAAGTGTCTCTACAGATATCGTTGACCAGCATAGTACCCAATAAACAGTGTTATCATTCCCACAGCTCTCCCATACCACCCTAATACATTTAAATTGGAGAGCTGCGTGAAGTTACACCATTTGACATAGACCAGATAAATGAAGAATGAGTGGAAAGAAAGAAGAGCAAACCAAAGGGACTTCCCCTCCTCATTAGCCTGGGAGGAATTCTGAAGAGTGTGAAGCATCTTTGAGGCAGCCATTTTGAGTTCATTTTTAACATGGTTAAAAATTGTGTTAACAAAGCTCCTTCTTTTCCAATGCAACACATCTCTAACTCCCAAATCTATGGAATACCCTAATTAGCTGTAAATTCCCAAAGTGTCTATTGCCAAGGGAAATTATATGTGAGTCTGTTTCTGGTCTGGAGATTTGTCTACACAGCATAACCTTACCACTTACATGCACAGATACAGAAGCAGAATTAAGGCACATGGTTTCTCAGCAAGGCTTTTTAGCTCAGACATGTACGACTAACATGGCTAACCTGCTTCCCGTACCTTGGGTAGCTTATACTGGTGTCTATACGCAGCATGCTGTACATATATGATCAAAACTCATGCGCGCACTGGGCCCCTGAAATTGTTAGACCTGTATAAAGTAAGATTAAGAGAAGGCTCCACCGAGAGCTTACAGCAGCCTTCCAGTAACTGAAGAGACCTACAAGAAAGCTTGGGAGGGACTTCTTCCAAGGGTCTGTAGTTACAGGACAAGAGGTAATGGTTGCAAACTGGAAGAGGGTAGATTCAGACTAGATATTACGAAGAAATTCTTTACTGTGAGGGTGGTGAGACACTGGCACAGGTTGCCCGGAGAAGTTGTGAGTGTCCCTTCCCTGGAAGTGTTCAAAGCCAGGTTGGATGGGGCTTTGGGCAACCTGGTCTAGTGAGAGGTGTCCCTGCCCATGGCAGTGGGGTTGGACTGGATGATCTTTAAGGTCCCTTCCGACTCAAACCATTCTGTGATTCTATGATTACAGGTACATATTTGGGCTAATGTTTTCCTTAGGCTGCAGCCCTGCAAAAGTACCAAGCTCTAGAGGTGCCACCAACAGTCATACCAGGAAGATTGCTTAATTTCAAAAATACTTTTTAATAATCTGTCCTTATGAGACAGTGTGTGTGAGCTCACATGGGTCCAGTTTCATTCTGCCATCTTTCCTGCCTTCATTTTCTTGTGCCCATCCCTTTGCTCAGACTGAGTTCTCTCCCTAGTCAGTCCCTGTTAAGTCAGTTGCCTATTCTCTAGCTCTCTCAATGTCTTCCTTACTGTCATATCTTCTCCTTCTCCTTCTAATTCCTTGCCTGAAATTTCCATCTCCGCCTACATCTGCTTTCCAGCCCTCATCCCTGACACTTCCAGTACTGGCAGTAAGAGTTTCCCTTTCTGTCTGCTTAGTCCCCGTCTCATCAGATTCGACTGTATTCATCTTGCCCAGAGTTGCAGTGAGACAGCTCTCTCCTCTGTTCTCCCTGGGTGCCCACTTTATACCTACCATCACTGAGCCTATAGCAGCAATGTTAAGAAATCTTCAGTACAGCAGTAAAAGCAACCATGTACTGGTTCTCCTTCCTTCCTCCTTTCCCTGTATCCTGGTTTCCATGCAAAAAAAAGCACAATCAGCAAGGGGTTGTGGCATACACCGCAGGGCTGGGGACAAGGGTTTACCACGTCAGGCACCACTGGGTCGGCCAAGGCACAGACCAAGGCTACAGGAGAGTAGTGCTTTGGAGTCTGATGACAAGCACTGCCCAAGGTAGCCAGGGAGAGAAACCAAGGGAAGCGTGATCAGCTTTAGGGACTGAAATCCAAGCAGAAAACACTTAAAAACAGTCCAGGCAGAATAAAATAAAAAGGAAGAGACAGGGTGAAACAGGGTATGCAATGGCCTCCCTCCTGGGCTAGGCAACAATGTGGTACAATCACTATGGTCAACCACAAATGCATTGGGAGAACTCCTCATCAAATAAGTGGTGAGAAACATCAAAGGCAAAGTATTTTCATTATTTTTCACAATTAAACTATAGTCTGTAAGAAGCTGCAGTTCTTTACTTCGCAGGTGACTTTTATTCCTGTCCTATTTTAAAATGGGACAAACCTGGAATTTTGACTGACTGCTGTCAGATTTCCTAGGGGCTTTAGGCTGAACCCTTTAGGAGGCCACTTGTTTCCTGGTTGTTTCTAGATCAAGAAGGATCCCATTATCATTTGAACTTAAGTTTAAATGCCAAGGTGTTTCTATTTTAATAAAAATAGATGAAATGTGGTGAAAATTTCAGCTCAGGCATTTTTAACACTGTTAAATCCAGACTTCCTAAAGGAGAAATTGGCTGTCCTGTAAGTTTAGTTTTCAGTTCAAGTCCAGATTACACACTCATGTAGGGAATTAATGGGGAGCGTACATAGCAGTTCTTATCACTCTCTGCTAGGCTTCTTGTTGATGTCTTTCCTACAAGTTTTTTTCCTCTATCTTTCATTTATAACTCTCTAAAATTATTTGAAAAGGGAAGAATAAATTGCTATAAGTTCTTTTTGTTTGATGGGTGTTTTTTTAATCTAACATTCCAAGTGTTTGAAGTTGAATATCTTGCTTTAATTTTTTCTGCCTTCCACAGCTGGCTATATGAAAATATCCCCCAGATCCTTCAGATTAATGCCAGAGAGCTCCATAACAATGAAACTTGAGAAACAGAGATTAAACTGGGGCTTTTATTGAGATATAATGAGTAGGACTATATGCACAGCTGATTCCCACTATCTTCCGAGTTTTCTAAACCAGGTGTCTCTTGAGTAGGTCATCTTTCACTGCAGCAACCTGATTGTTTTCTGAATTACTTCTCCTGAGTCCTTCATGTTATTGCATCCTTTGGTTTGTCTTTGTGTATATGTGCTCAGGACTGGAGAAGCACCTTTCTAGATGCCTTTTCCTCCTTTTTTCTTTCACCGGATGGGGCAGATGCATTGAGAGTTGTTGTGCTGTCTTCTAAAAGCAAGGGTTGGGTCCCAATACTTTGCAGTGGTACAGGAGAGGGAGCATTCAGCTATGAAAAGCGCAGATGATAACTGTGAGCTGAATAATGGATCTATGTGGATCCTGTAATTGCCTGCTGCTCTCAGATGGCTAACACGACACTCCAACCAATTTAGTTGTTTGCTCTTGCAAACACTTGACCTGGATCAAGCAGGGCCTCAGTAAAAAGCATTTAACTGAATAATGCCAATGGTGCTAAAAGACTGGTTTCCTCCTCCACCAATGGTTAAGAGCAGGTGAAAATAAAGCTTATGTGGAGAAGTATTTCCCCCAGCATCCTGGCTGTAGCAGTGAGCTTGCAATTTATTTATATGTGAAAATAGCCCTTTTTTGAACCTGTTTTAATCTGCAACTTTATAATCTCCTTTGGGTTTACATGTCACTCTGCATGAAAAATTGTGAAAAACCGTTCCTTGCTCACTCTCTGAACATCTTTCACTGTTTTATACTTTAAAATTACGTCTCCTTCCCAGGATAAGAGCTGCAGTGTCTTACCTTATCCAGGAGGAAGATATTCCACATCTCCCACTTCAATCCTTGCTGATCTCTGACCATTTTCTAGTTTTAGATTCTAATTTTTAAGATGAGATTATCAGAACTGCATCCGCTATTTCAGCTATAAGCATACCTTGGTTTAAGCCACTGACACAATATGCTTTCTGTTTTATTTTCACTTTCTCTCACAGCTGCTCCTAAATTTCTAATTGTTTCATTGTTTCATCAGAGCATCCAGCTGGTGTTTTCAAAGACATATCCAGAATGACTCCAAAATCTTTTTCAGAATTGCGTTGCATAAACCAAGAGCTGAGATTAATAAATTTGAAGAAAGTGTTTCTCCTTTTCAAATCCCATCATCTGCTTCCATTCAAGCAGAGCTATATGGGGGCTAGTAGAAGTGCATATTCAAATGGAGCTCTTTGCATGGAAAAACAAATTGGTCACTACTTCTATCATGCAGTTTATTTCCATGTTTTCCTTTTTTATTATTACTATTTCTTCCTGTACAACATAAAAACCAAACCATACCTACAAACAATATTTAGACAGCCTAAAGGACGATTGTGCTTTCTTGAACCAGATTCTAAAATCTTGCCCTTTATTTAAAACGTTCCAACCTTTTACCTGATATGTGGAACAGAATCTCCCTGGAGGAGAAGGTGCAGGGTATCGGTGCTCTCTGGTTTCACAGGGAGGAACAGTACCATGACCTTTTAATAGCTTTCAGCCTCATTTGATCTGCCCAGCTAGCGTATGCACGCTTTTTTCCAGGTCAGATACTATCTGTACTGCCTTATCAAAGTTGGTGACCCAAGCTTAGTGTCCTCATTTCTTGATGGTTTCTAGTATGTTAAAATAGCAACAGCAGCATTTTAGTTTCTGAACTGGGAGTTGGGTCACTGTAAATGCTATAGGCACAGATACTGTCCTGCAGAGATGAAAAACCAGACAGCCACTATTAGCTTTTTCCTCTAGTCCAAAAAAGGAACTAAATACAACTTTATGCAGGGCCTCTGAAACTCCTAACCAGAGGTTTTGTTTTGATATCTTATTCTCAGATAGAAACATACTTCAATATCTTGGCACTGCCTTTATTCCTGTGCCTGAAGGGACAGGTTTCCCTCCCTGCACATAGAGACCCTGTGTCCCAGGGATACAGAAATGTGTTCTAGGAGCAGACCACAACACCCTACTCCTTAGTTAATCCACTCTGCTTGAAAAGGCACCTGTAGGCTCACTTACACCTGTTGAAAGTCATGTCTCTTGTCCTTAGCAGGCTTTTGTTGCAGCCCTCTGTCACTTTATCCTGACAGCAGACAGGGATGCATTTGGTACACACAACAGCTGCACCTGCTGTAGGAGCTCCATTAGCCAAGATGCAATGTCCAGGCTCTCCTTCCAGTAGCTACTTCTTTTCTAATATGCAATGTTTTAACTTACTCACTGTAAAGAGGAGACAGTAGATTTGCAAACCCAGTTACAAGAGAGGGAAAAAAAAAAAGGATTTTCACAAGTGAGCTCTTTAAAGCAAGTCTCTAAAGACAAAAAGTGCTCTCCGGTGACTATATTAATTTTAAGTTGCTGACAGATTTGTCATAGGCCCAGGCAATATTGCTGGCAATAATGACACTGTTCCCTGACACAGCTTCCACAACAATTTTTTTTAAAGGGGAATTGTTTCCACATAGCAGGTCTCATTAAAATAATTTCCATGGTTGGCTATGATGTTTGGAAGCCACCTTCTTAACTCTCACCTATAATAAACCAAATGATGAGCAGTGCCAGTAGGGATCTCAAGATCATGGTTTCTCATGTTTCTTAAAGTGTCTTATTTACTCAGCCCTGTCCCGATCCTGCTTACGTTATTGCTTGGATGAGCATTCACTCTCACTGTCTGGCAGCCTAATTAATTGCACGTTAGTAAGGCATCTCTCCTCCGTTTGCTTGGTTCACATGAATTATGCCGTGACTTTTTTGCTATTTTGCTGGACCTGCAAAATATATGCAAATGCCTAAGCCACACCAATAACTTGTATTTGCTCTCTAAGCAAGTCTCAGGCCCGTTTGGTGGCAGATGACCGGTCTGTGACACGATGGGATTATCTGATGCTCCCAGCTAGAAAAGCAACACATGGAAAAGCAGTGAAAGTTTGAGCAAAGGCAAATGTTTGAGCTTCCAAAATAAGATGTAAACGGGTTTAATCCAGCAGTCTCATTTGACAGGGCTGCAGTGCTATAAGCAACTGTGGCAGACCTGACTCAAAGCTTCTCAGAGCCACATGGAGGATGGAGCAGTGCCATGGGAAGAAGGTCCTTCCACAGGAGCCAACCTGCCCACATTGTCATCCCATCAGGATGGGACAGGGAAGAGGATGGGTGGCCACAACAACCACTTTTAGGAGAGACCTGCCACCCATTGCCTGTACAGACCCTGCCTGCTCCTCAGGGCAAGCAGCCCACCCCACTTCACCTGGCTGTGTGGAGGACAAAGAAGCAGCATTTGGCTAGAGGTGGCCCCATGAGCTGGTAGAGAGGGCTAGGTGTGAAGGGGCAACCTTAACATGAAGATTTGCTTTCTTTTAGGAGCCAAGGGTTTTGCAGCTTTGGCAAACTGTAACCAGAAAAGCTGCAAGGTTCCATACTTGCTCTAGGTTTTGCTAGTTTTCATTTTTCTCCTTCTACTTCTTCAAGCTGTCATGGTGTGAAGAAGACTTGAAATTCAGAGAAGGGACAGCCCACTTCCAAACGGAGCCTGTTTATTCCTCATGAAAAAGCAAGCTGCAGCTCCTTCAAGGTGTGTGCCTCCATGCCTTGGGCATGTTTTACACTCGAGTGAGGCTCCAACATCAAGAGAACTGGATTCAGGTCAAGGTTGTGCAGGTTACCTAGTCCCTCGTCCTTCTCCTCTGCTTTCCCATGATAAATTCCTCACATAGAACTAACTGCACGTCAACCCTGTCACGTTATGAACACTCTTTTCTGTACAGTGGCGACAGAAAAGGATGAGACTTAAATTTTGCAAGTATAGTGAAGTTTAACAGAAGCTACTTTAGGTAAAAATAAGAAGCCACCTGAATAGAAGCTTAGTATTTGAATGGTATACTTTTCCTGTTGGGCTTAATGGGGTTTATCTACAAAACTATATCCATTATACATAAATGTAGATTAGATGTTAAAATTCAGTGATATATAACAATCAATTTTTAGCTGAAGAATTTTGTCTGGATTTGGATTCATGTGTGCTTTCAGGTTTCAAGCAACCACCACTGTTGTAGATCATTTAGATACAGCATTTCAATTCAGGGCCCTTTCAACTTTTTGAAAATCAAAAGTTTTTGAAGACTTCTTTTATTTTATTTTGTTTTGCTACACCAGTCCTTTCATACAGGTGAAATCAGAAGGTCTTTGATTTGCCCAATTTATTTGAGTAATGCTTCTTGTCTCCACATTATCCCTTAAAGTGTTTTGGGCTATCTGGGGAAGACTGTAGAAACTTTGAAAGAATTACTTTAAATTTGCACTACCTTTAACCATATAGTCACATTATTTGTTCTTTTTATCTTTTCTATCTCTTGCAAAATGGGCTGCAAAAACCAAATAAATATCAATATAGAGGCCATATTAACCATAAAATTAGATTAAATACTGACATTATCATTTAGAAATGTATTCTCTCATGTATTAATTAATGTCTGTGCATAAGAGATTTAAATCACACAGGTTTAATTTCCTGAGTCTTATTCTTACATAGCAGCACTGATTTTCTTAGACCTCCAACACAAGGACAGGATCACAGATGAAAAGAATTTACTGCTGAGACATTCTTATCTCTGTTTACCAGGATAGTATATCAACCTGTTGTCACCTCTTGCACTACAGAGTAGCTTGAAAGTATCACCAAATACACTATTTTAAAACAAAAGCAACCTGGTCTAGGGGAAGGTCTCCCTGCCCATGGCAGAGGTGTTATCCTAGATCATATTTAAGGTCCCTTCCAACACAAACCATTCTGTGGTTCTCTGACTCTATGAAAGCTATTATGTCAAACAAAACCTTAGGGAACCTGTAAATGGTTTATATTCTCTCACAAATAAACCCTTTAATATCACTTTGCCAACATTAGAGTTGTTCTTCATGAGAATATGCAAGTTTCATAAGAAACTCATCTGATAAACCAGGGTCACTGAAGTGTTTGTAACTGGGACTTAAAAGCAGGGGGTTTTTTACAATCTTTTTTTTTTCAATTTGAATTAATGTTGCCATTTCTTATGGGAATGCTTTCTGTGAGAAGGAGGCTTTGGGTTAGTGTCAGCAACATAGTGTGAGTATAGCTGCATCACTGCGGAAATTTGGAATGTCTTCCCCTACCCAACTCTCTCGGAAAACATAACCCTCAATCCCAGCATCTCCAGTTGCTTCCCCTTATCAGTAGGTTATAAATGAGCCTCTTGCTGCTCCACTCAATGGTTAATTATTCGCACTAGTGAATTTTTTTCAACAGTAAAGACTGGATATTACCCAGCCCAAGACAGTCAGGCAGACAAGTCATTCATCTAGGCTCTAACAGCCTGAGGTTCAAGCTCCTGAACAGACCTTGGCAAATAAAGTCTTGACCTTGAACTTCCTGAGAGCCAAGTGAAGGCTGTAATCACAAGGTATTGTTTGCTGCGGTACAGGTTGTCTTTCCCTCAGTGGTTTTAGCCAAAATTCCATCTTTATGCACAATCCTTGGAGGATATTCAGTTTTCAAAATTTAAATTTTCTGAGGGACAGCCCTTGATCAGTTCTGCTAACAATACTACAGATTTTATATTAATATAACAGTGAGCAGATGTTTTGGGCTCTAATTTGTTGATCATTTCCTCTATTGCTAACAGCTGCACTAATCTTACTTTAATACTCCCCTAATTTCTGTAAATCTCTGAGATATATACAAATAATGTGAGGCTATGATATCTATTCTGCTAATATACTTACTTGAATAATATTTATTATCTTAATTAAATGAAAATCATGGCAACTAAGCATAGCTGCTCCTCTAGTGCAAGATGAACACTTCAAGGTACTCTTACTTTGGAAATAGTATTTCTCAACCAACTTACAGTGTGAAAAATTCCATTTCTTGAATTACTCAGCATAAAAATGAAATCATTATGCTGAGGAAGAATTGTTTAATGGTATCTGGATATGTCAGCTCAAACTTGTGTGAACAGTCCTAAGTTCTTCTACTGCTCCAACCTGGTCAAGTAAGAGACAGCCTGAAACCAAAAGCTATCTAAACATTGCATATTAGCTTCAGCTGTGCTAATATGGCTAAACAGCTTGGGAGGAGAGGTAACTCCTGCCCAACAACTTTGGAACATGAAGATGAAGCTCATGTTTGTTGTATTGCAGGCAAGTTAGCATTGCTGGTGCTGTCCTTATGCTAATCTACCCATTACGCATGAGTTAGTCCAACATCTGACCACTGGCATTCCCAAAGCCAAAGCCAAAAAACACCAAGTCTGGAAAATACATTAATACCAAATTACAGAGCTGACTTCTGTGGAATGCAAGGAGAATTTTGCCATTGATTTCAAAGGGAGGTGGTTGGACATTTTTGTCCTGGAATATTGTTTCAAAGACCAATTTTCTTACCCAAGATTGTAGCCTTCAGATCCCAGCCTGTAGGCTGCAGCCAGCTTGTTGATCGATTCAGATCCATGGCTGTAGGCAGCTGAGCTTTTGCTGAGGGATTCAGAGTCAAGGCTGTAGGCAGCAGATCTTTTACTAAGTGCAGCAGAGTGATCATAGGCTGTAGATCCATAGCTGTAGGCTGCTGACTCTAGGTCAAGGGCTGAAGAGTCAAGGCTGTAGCCTGCTGCAGATGCATGACGATAGGCTGCAGAGCCCCTAGCGTAAGCTGTAGATCCTTGAGCATAGACAGCAGATTTGCTCTTTGTTTCCTTTTGGTACTGACTTACAGTGGACTGCAGTGCTTTATGGCGGTACGCACGGTCATAGTGCTCGTGGTGTCTTTGGTAGAATGGTAGAGACATCATGGGTGTCTTCTAATTTTGTTTCTACTGTCCGTTTCTGAATATAAATATAACAGGACAGCGTCTGAAAAAGAACAGATCAAATATAAAGACTAATATCAAAGAAAACCCTGAGTTAGCATACAAATAATACAGAAAATAAAAGCTAACATAGAACTTAAAACTTCAAAAATCAAATGCAATAAATTTAGGATTATCTTTCTTTGATGCATTTTAGACTTTAAGATAGGTTTGTATTTAATTTCAAGATGTTCATATGTTATTCGTTGGGAGCAGAAAACCCTGCACTATTGTGTCTGTTCCTGTGTAGTTAGTCTCCCTGTTACTGCAAACTATTGAAGTTTTACATGCTCAACTTCTCTCCTCACTACTGCAAACTAATTACATTTTATGTGCTCAACTTCTTCAGAGATAACGTAAATATTTTGATTGAATTACAAAAGAGATAATAAAGTAATGAATACTTTAAAAAGGCATGAGCAATTCCAACATGGCTATTCAGTACTTTACAAGCTGAAAAAAAATTATATGAACATTTCATTCATTTTTGTAATCCAACTTTCAGATTAAATTTAATATCCCATTTAATATTTTAACAGTGAATTAAAAACAGGAAGACTGAGAAGGATGTCACTTTTTTTTCTGTAAACTTGCATTGCATTGATTATTTTGTATATGATACCAGAGATCCATTTAAAATGGCTTATACTTTTACAGTTTAATCAGGGATACAGTCTGTATGCAATGACTATAATAATATCATGTTCATCAGTCTCAATTACACCCTTTTTTAATCTAGAATGTCATGTTCGAGATTGTCAAGAAAGTTTCTCAAGACAATTATCCCCATCTAAGTTTTACTTTGCACTGTCATCAATGGATTGTCTTGCAGTCACTCATAGTAGGAAATTTGATCAGGTGAGAGGTAGTTTCCCCTCTCAAATTGGGATGAGGGTGAAACACAGGAAGGATTTCCCTTTGGGTTTTTTTCAGCTGGCAATTCAATCTTTATTTTGCTATTGTTTTATTTTGCTGTTGTTAAAACTGACATATTCTTCTCTGGCATGCAAACTTGCCTCTGCTAACCCCTCATGATAAGCTTTCTTTCCCTTCTCACTGGTCATTAAGCTTACAACAGGTCTAGGATTGTCCCTGAAGAGGTATATGATTATGAATAGAAATGAACTGCAGTGGGGGGAATGTTTAGAAGGATTTTAAGAGGAACAAAAACCAATGGTGAGAGGTGTTTGTTATTCTTTATTATTTTGACTATCAATCACAACAATAGGAGACTTGTTCTGCTTCTGGTTTTGTTCATGTTAAAGAAACCACTCATCTGATGTTTTGATATAAAATACACTTACAGAGCTGGAGTATAATCTTGATTTCACAAAAATTGATTTTTTTTTCCCTAGTCTTTGTGCTGTCTAGATTTCAGTCCTTGTCTTTTTTTTTTAGTATTTGGTTCTGATAGTGAGTCAACAAATTGTAAACTATTCTCTTTGGTATCTGCTTAAGTACTCACCCAATCTAAACGAAATTATGAAAAAAAACCCCTCAATGTTTCAACTTTCTTATATTTCAGGGCTCTCTCAAGGGAACTATTCTTTGCATGAGAACAGAACAGATCACCTGTTTGCAGAAAGTCAACAAGAAAGTAAGAAGGTAATTCAGAAGTTTTTAAGTATGCACAAGAAATTGCTGATATCCTGACCACAGTGAAACTATGACTTCAAGGAGACAAGGGAGGAATGGGAAAGAG